GGTGACCTCTACACTGAATTCTGTAGAAGGCCACCCTCCTCTTATCAGGAAGCCTACAATACGGCATGGGAGTATGCCGAGGCGGAAGTCCTGAACAAAAGCAAGCGGGAGCTGGAAGAAGGCTACACAAAGGTGAAATCTGACAAGCCGAAGAAGGATGACCAGACGGGAGGGTCCAAGCCAAAGGCCACATATGACGGGTCCATCCACCAAATAAGGGATGATAAGAAGGGAGAGCAACCCAAGAGACCATGGACGGAGAAGTGGTGCACATACCACCAATCCGATTCCCACAACACGGCGGACTGCCGAAATGTCAAGGCCGTGTTCAAGGAGATGGCCTTAAACGGAGAGCTGGGGGAAGGTTATGCAGCGGGGAATAAAGATCCAAAAGCGAACACCTGGACCCGTCCTCAGGGAAAAGACCAGGGGAGGAAAAAATCCGGGAAGGATAACAACAAGCCGGATAAAGAATTCATCGAGATGATTGTCGGCGGCCCAGAAGGCGGGGACACTGCCTCCCAGCGGAAGAATTGGGCCAGGAGCTTGCATGTAGCGGTGGTTTCCCTGGAATCACAAGGGAAGCAGTCAAAGAGGGAACCTATCACTTTCACTGATAGGGATCTGCCTAGGACGGGGGGAGATCATAATGACCCTTTGGTCATTACGATGGATATCAACGGGGCTGATGTGGCCAGGGTCCTGGTTGACACAGGAAGCAGTGTCAATGTTTTATATTTGGAGGCTTTCAAGAAATTGAAGCTGGACAGGTCCATGCTGAGGCCATTGCAAACCCCATTGTCAGGCTTCACTGGAGCCAGCATAGAAGCAGAAGGTCAGATCACCTTACCAGTTACCTTGGGGTCGGGCAACAAGACGGTGACCAAACAAATGAGATTTGTTGTGGTTGACATCAAGTGTGTACATAATGCCATTCTTGGTAGGCCTGGAATCAATCAGGTCAAGGCAATTATTTCTATGGCGCACTTATGCATGAAGTTTTACACCCCCAATGGAATCGGGGAGGAAAGGGGAGATCAAAAGAACGCCCGGTCCTGCTACCTAGAAGCGGTCAAGAAGATGACCCGCCAGTTCGAACAAATTGAACTGGTCTCCCAGCAGGTCGACAAGGGTGAGGAAAAGGCTAGGATCGAGCCGGATGCAAACACAGAGGAGATCCAGATTGATGCTTCCAATCCTGAGAGGAAGGTCAAGATTGGGGCTGATCTTCAAGAGGAGCTAAGGACTGAGATTGTCCAGGTGCTGACCAGGTATAAATCTTTGTTTGCCTAGAGTGTTGCTGATATGCCCGGAATTGACCGGTCAGTCATTTGCCATCGTCTCTCTGTTCTTGAGGGGTCTAGGCCTGTAAGACAGAAGAAGAGATTCTTGGCAAGTGAAAGGAGGGACTTTGTGAAAAAGGAGGTCAAGGACCTACTGAAGGTTGGTCATATAAGGGAAGTAAATTACCCTGAATGGCTGGCCAACGTAGTCTTGGCTCCGAAGGGTGATACTTGGAGGATGTGCGTGGACTATACAGACCTCAACAAGGCATGCCCAATGGATTCTTATCCTCTCCCCAGCCCGGACCAAATGGTTGACGAAACCGCCGGGTGTGAGCTGCTAAGTTTCATGGATGCCTTCAAAGGGTATCATCAAATTTTCATGGCGGAAGACGACGAGGAGAAGACAGCCTTCCTCACCCCAGACGGGACATATTGCTACAGGGTGATGGCCTTCGGGTTGAAAAACTCAGGGGCAACATACCAGAGGATGGTCAACAAACTGTTCAGGCCTTTGCTTGGACGGACCATAGAAGCCTATGTGGACGATATGCTAGTGAAGAGCAGGACAGCTAGCACGCACGCTCAAGACCTGGAAAAATGCTTTGAGATTATGGCAAGGCATAATCTTAGACTTAACCCGAAGAAATGTGTTTTTGCTGTGAGGACGGGGAAGTTCCTAGGCTTCATGGTCACAAAAAGGGGGATTGAGCCAAATCCAGAGAAGATCAAGGCCATTATGGAGATGCAACCCCCAACATCGGTAAGGGAAGTTCAGCGGTTAACAGGGCGCCTGGCGGCTTTAAACCGATTCTTGTCCAGGTCGGCAGAGAAGGCTTTGCCTTTCTTTAAGGTTTTAAAGAAAGCCAATACCTTCCAGTGGGATGATGAATGCGCCAGGGCATTTGAAGAGCTGAAGACATACCTGACTTCGGACATTGTCTTGTCCAAGCCAGAAACAAAGGAGACCCTTTATCTCTACTTAGGGGTTACTCAGATGGCCGTTAGCTCGGTCTTGATGAGGGATGATGGGGTCCAGAGGCCCATCTATTACGTAAGCAAGGCCTTAAATGGGGCGGAAAGTAGGTACACTCCTACAGAAAAAGCAGGGTATGCACTTTTCATAACAGCGAAGAAACTTACCTCCTACTTCCAGCCCCATCCTATTATCGTGTTGACCGACCTACCATTGGGTACGGTCATGAGGGACTCCACCTCATCAGGAAGAATGATCAAATGGGCCATGATGTTGACTCAATTCAACATCGAATATCGCCCGAGGACAGCGATAAAAGGACAGGCCGTGGCTGATTTTCTTGTGGAGATGGCGGGTCACCAGGAAGAAGAACCAGCTAGGGCTATCACAGAGCCTTGGTGGTCCATGTCGGTAGATGGAGCCTCTGGACCGAAAGGTTACGGGGGAGGTGTAGTATTCACAACTCCGGAAGGGTTCAAGGTATATCATGCCTTGATCTTCAATTTCAAGCTCACAAACAACGAGGCTGAGTATGAAGCATTGATAGGGGGTCTGAGATTGGCCAAAACCCTACAAATCACATGCCTCCGGATTAAATCTGACTCAAGCTTGGTGGTAGGCCACATCAATGGCAACATGGAGGCCAAAGGAGAGAAGATGCAGAAGTACAGGGACTTGGCAAGGGCATTATTGAAGGATTTGAATGAGTATGTGATGGAGCAAATCCCTAGGGGGGAAAACACCGATGCTGACTTGCTATCAAAATTGACGCAAGCAGCCCCGGAGCATGTGTCCAAGCTGGCCAGGATTGAGACGCTGGAGAAAGCCAGCATTGAAGGGTTTTCTGTTAGCATGATAGAGGAAGATGGACAGCCCAATCCAGATCGAGTGGAGCCAGATGATATTTGGATGGATGACTTGGTCAGGTACTATATNAGGAGGAAGCTTCATCTTGGCCGGATCAAATGAAGGGTCCCTCTTCTGAAGCCGAGCATAGAGAAGAGACCTCTCATCCTTTTGGCCACACTGAAAGCCATATGAACCGATCTCGGTTATCATCCTCTTACCCTCTGGCTCTTGATACATGACTTGGAAGAAGTCCATAGTTTCCGCCGGGGTAGTGAGAATGGACCGGGCAACCTCCGTGTGATGGCGTGCAGCCCAGTCAGCAGCCAAGGTGGGAAAGGCCTCCTCCTTTGCCCGGGCAGATTCTTCAGCCTGGCCCAACGCATCCTCAAGCTCGGCCACCTTTCTATTCCTTTCCTCCTCCAGAAGGGCAAACTTGGTCCTCTCCTCCTCTAACCTGGCCCTTTCAGCCATTAGCTCTTCCTCCAGCTTCTTCTCCCTTTCGACCAGGTCATTGATCTCCAACTTGGCAGAATCAAGAAGGAGGGTGAGTTCGGAGACCTGGTCCTTGGATTCCAGGAGTGACCGGCCAACTTCTTCGGATAGAACTCCAACCTGGAAAACAAACTTGTCAGTAAAGGCAAAGGAAAAGGAAGTAACTAAACCGGGAGGAAAATCAGAGTTGGTACCTTGCTAAGTTTTTTGGCCAGGGATAGGAAAGTTACTTCGATGGACTCCCCCTCCAAATCTGATAGCCTGACCTTCTTCTTCTTTTCTCCCTTGGAAGTCTTGTGGGAACCCTTCCTTTTGTGAGAGGAAGAATGACCGGTCTCCTTTCCTTTGGCCTTGACATCCTTCTTAGGAGAAGGGACCCGGTCATTTTCAGAGAGATGGGTGGCTGGAGGAGATTTCAGCTTCTGGCTTTGTTCAGGGATAGGGCTACACCGGGCACTTGTGGCCTCATCCATTTCAGGGATATGAGGAGTAGAAGGAGGCTTGGAAAGAGGTGACCGGCCAGAATGGAGGACTTGAATATCATCATCGTCATCTTCGATGATGGTGGTCATCCTGTTGAATTCCATGTCTACAAACAAGAACGGAACAAAACATTACCGGTTAGCTTTTTCAACTTAACAAAATAAAGTTGAAATCAAAAGGGAAGGAAGATTGACCGACTTGAATGAGGAGAACTGCCCTCAGCATGACCATCCGGGGAGTTCGCCCGGTCATCTTCTGCGTCATGGGTCGCAGACATACCCCCATCCGGGTTGGACAACCGGTACACCCAGCCCCCATAAGCATAAGGTTTCCCGGTCACAGGATCACCCTTGAGAAGTTTCTCGCAAGCGTCCTCAAGCTCTTTAGTGGGCACAGGGTGAACCCTTTCAGGTTTTATAACCCGGTCAGCCCACTCACGGTTAGAGAGGGGAAATTGGTCAGGGGGAAATTCAATGAAAACAAATCTTTGTTTCCATTTCTTGTGGCTAGGGGGGAGACCGGTTAAAAAACCCCTAGAGTTGGCACGGGAATGGAAGTAAACAAAGCCCGGGCAGTTACTAGTCCCGGGCAAGACATCATACATATGAAGGAAGAGATCAAGGGAAGGTTTGATGTTCAGAGATTCACAAATATTTACAAAACAATTCAAAAACCGGTGAGCATTTGGAGTAAGCTGGCCGGGCAAAAGATTGAACTTATTACAGATTTCTACGAGGAGGGGGCGAAGGGGAA